GCATATAATTAAATCTCTGAACAGAGAAATCAGGAACAAGGGATTACATAATGTATCCATAAGTTTGAAACTGATGTCATCGACTGGGCAGAAAAAAATCAGCTCTTCGACTAAGCAACACCTATTTTGAACAGAAGCACTGCCACTCCAGATCACGCATTTAAGGTCGTTTACAACACAACAAACGCNGAGTTACTGAATTTTCGGAGGCTCTGATAATTCATAATCACATAAAAGGTGAATGGTTGGTCACATAAGCTTAACCTTAATGATGAACTCTCACCTCCTTTTGCTTTTTCATGTAATTGTGTCATGTTGTTCGTTGTGGTTAGCAAACTTGCCTTCTTCCTACGCTTGCTATTTTACTGAGTATTTTTACTTGTACAACTTGTGTAAGCTCGTATTTTAACACGTTCGTGACGCGGAATAAAATATACAGTTTCATAAAACAAGTAAAATAAAGAATGTCGCCGGAGTTTGTTTCATGTACAAAACATTCGGACGTAATTCACCTTCATTCTGTTCCTTTTGGATTATGAGTTGGACCAGGTAAAGTACAGGGGAACGTTTTAATGTTAGTACGAAAGAGTAAATGCCGAAAAGTAAAGCGAGTGGATAGATGAACGACAAGGTGATAGCTCGGAATGCAGTTGATGAAGAAGGTCGTCTAGAATCATTTTGGCAAATTTAACACAAGAGTAGATGCCACCAATAATGAGCTCCGTGACTAATGAATCGATTGCTATTAATTATGCACGCATGATTACCACTAAACCTCGTAAGGATGGCTTTGAAGTTTTGTTTTAAAAGACCGGGAAACAATACAGGTTTGCAATAGAGTGGGGTGGATAAAACGCATTGGTGAACGAAAGAGGACAGGACTGACTGTGGAGTTCGAAGTCACCTGCGTTTGCGTAACTAAAATGGGGGGGGGCGTCTCAGTTATGCCATAAAAATTATAAATATGTGTTGAATGGCAGCCCCTTGATTGGCCGCTTTCCACCTCCTGAAAATTGTATCGTTGTATATTCGATAAAAGGGTAAAAGCAGAACAAAGATATGGGGATAAAACAGCACCTTGAAGTACACCAGAATTATTGACAAGAGGTTTTAACGTCCTCCTTCACAATTTGGAGCACTGGAACCTCTCTGTTAAACAGTCAGAAAGCCACGACAGTAGCTATATCGGGGGTGCCAAAAGAAACCAGTTTGAAAAGAAGGGATGATCGAAAAACAAAATCAAACGCGGACGAACAGTCAAGAGAAGCACAACGGAAAGACTTGATCGAATTGTTTATTGAATTACTGATAGTGACGTAGAATGAATACGGTGCTCAGTGTAGATTTGTTGGGTTTATTTGCAAAATGAAGGTCATGGGGATTGTTTTAATTAACTGTAAGCAACTCAATTTCAGAGCTGTAGAGGCCACCGCGACAGGACGAAAGCGTTTCGCAAGAACACCTGGGGGCGAGGAATTGGGGATGGGAATGATGGTAACTGAACGCCAAAAATCAGAAATCAACCGAGAAAACACAGGCTCATTAACGAGGGATATCATCATATTGGACAAGGAAGCTGCTCCGGATTCCAGAATTGCAGGAGGAAGATGATTAGGGCCGCCAGCTGATGATCCCTTGGAGGATCCAAGAAGCTCACATATCTCATCATTGGAAAAGCCATTGAATTCCGTTTATTGCACAGGAAGGCCGGAATCTGGATCTCGTTTAACGAGTGAATGCAATCGTAGTTAAGGTTTTTGAAGTTCACCGGGATAGTCGAGTTTTCTCTGTTCTGCCCACAGAGCAGGCAAATACCTTACCATAAGAGCCTGGTGCTGTTTCTTCGCAGAATTTGGGCGGGGCTGCTTGTATTCAGCGGTCTTACCTCACACCTGATCAAGTCAGAACATCATAGATGGAGTTCGTCGTGTAAAAAGTGAATGAAGCGTGAACTTAAAAGCTGGGAAGCATTGTACAGCTGCCACATTAGAAGTGCGAATCCATCGACCAAACTGCGGATAGAACCTGGGACCTCACAGGTAGAACGCAAGCGTACTACCCACTCGGCCACCAGACAGCTGATCAGACCGTTTTTCGTTTGCCATTTACGTGATATAACATAACCCATCTTTGCGAGCTTGTTGCGGGCATCGTGCCTTCGCTCATCTCAGCACTAGCATCCGGAGTTATGACTCAGTTGGAAACTTTGCCAACCTGACTAGTTCTTATATGAGAGTACTCTCGTGTAAGTCGGAAGTGTTTTACAACTGATGCATGCCGAGATTTGCAGGTCTTTTCTTTGTGTCTTTTCAGTGAGGTAATTCTACCGTCATGGACAAACAGGGTTTTCACGGGGTAACACGACTTAAAGATCGAGTTAATCGTTGCAGTGAACAGACTGACACATTTAAAAAGCAGTGGACAAGAATAAAACCAAGACTGAACAATTGCAACAGAACATTCAAGAAGAAAGAGGGGGTTAGGTGAAAATTCCCTTAGATAAAATGTTACTTGATGAGAACGTATGATTGTTTGATAAGCAGTGTGGAAGTATAACTTTGATCTAACAAAATAATATAATGGTCACTGGGAGAAACAAGGACCACCAATTTGAGAGACAGAATAACTGGGGATGGTTTGTGATAATTCTGTTCAAAAACGAACCAGCTCTGAAGAGAGTGAGAGGGAATGCGAGAGGTCAGATAGACCCAAGAGAAGCAGGAGGGAAATGTTTAAATGATTCAAATCATCAACAAGTAAGTGAAGATTTTCATCTAATGATGAAACGAGAAATGGGATAAACTGTCTTGATGACTCAACAAACAATGGCATACAGTCCACATCAAGGCAGGTTTCGATTGGTAACAATACGGCCCACTTTGAAATAACTCCATCTCAAATCAGTTATTTCCTTGCATCTCACATCGGGTATATAAGATTGCGAACCTGACAGTTTACAGAAAACCAAATAGCGTTCAGAATTAAAATGATCACATATAGATTATCATAAAATGACTATACATTTCAATGAAAGCACACATATATGTCGGTCAAATCTACACCATGATCAAAAACCCATTTCCTTCAGAAAAGATCTGTAACATTTATAGAATTCTCGGTACTACTCGGAACACAACGAGAAGACCGTGTCAGTTTGATCGTGTTGGGCAATAGTTGTTATTTTATCACCAGTTCGGTTTATCACGTTCTGATTATTTAATAGGTTCTCTCGAATATTTTCCCGAAAGACTTAACTTGAATTTCAACCCTCATCGATTGATGCCCGAGAGGATTACGGAAAATATCACACTAAACATTACAACTGCTAAATCTGGCGCCCAATGCTTAGTCTGCATTCGACTCAAACCTAGGGCCTTTCTTTTCTTTAGAATAGTACAAGAGATAAAACCAGTAATCTTGTTCAGACCGAAAAATATTCATTAGACATGTATTCGGTGTTGCGATCACTATATGTGAACAGATGTTTATATTCACCTGGTGTTTGTTCTTACAAAATACGAAGTTTAGTAACCAAAGAGATTGTTCGCTTTCCGGTTTAGGGGATTCGGTCAAAAACCTTTCACCTGAATAGTAGCTCTGTTCAGTTTGTACAGACCTGTGCTCCGTAAATCGTTGCTGTCTTTCGGCTACCCATCTCGTGGGCCAATAAAAACATGGTGAGACAATAACAGCTGAGAGTGCTACAAAGAAAACGATCCAAAGTAGGGTGAAATTTTCGGTAACCTTGAACTACTTTAGTGTGAAAATTATGTGATCTGAAAGATCAGCATGTATATGATGTAATTTGCTATGAACAAAACATCGAGTGTCCGCTAATCTGGATTTGAACTGAATAACCCTCGTTCCGTTCAACAACCCCCCCCTCCAACAGAACAGAAGTGTAGTTTGCAAAAGGTCACACGGGCGATCTTTCATTCGCTGAAATAATGTGAAGTTCTGATTGAAAAGATGACTCGTTTATTCTAGTGTTATACAAAATGTATAAAATAAGAAATGTCCTTCTGCAATTAAAAAAAGATCCACTACAAAGGTTTAATTTACACGCAAACAACGAAACCACTTTATTGGAGTAGAATATGAATGAACTTGCAGACTCACCCAAAGAAAGTAGGTAGTCCCTGTATATTGGCGATCTGAAATGCGCTCGTAAAACAGCTAACCACGGTGTGATTCCGGGAAATACCTGAGAGAATCCGGTCGCCTCGGTAATGAAATTCACAAAAGCTCCGGTGCAGAACACTCCGTGAGGATGATAACCAACCATGTAGTTCTTATCCGTGGACAGACCACGAAACCCAGTTCCGAACAGTAACTCCTCACTGGACGGGCTGCGTGGATCTGATTTGGAATGAGCGCACAGTTCCTCACTGAGGACTAGGTGAACAGGGAAATAGTTGGCCAAATGATGCCACAACTTTAAATGTCTAAGCCAAGGTCTTCGATGCCCACCGCGATCCTCAGAGCCACGATCCTCTTGCCAATATATCAAATAGCCAGTGATCACGGCGACCAAAGTAACCACATAGGTTTGCTCAAACTGACTAACCTCAAATGTGCTCTCATCGTTGGGATGTCCCACTGTAAACACGACCAGAATGAACAAGTGTTTCAGTAGTGAGTAGACTAAGCGGATGCTTAGAAAAAGGCATGTCAGACCGAAACAGAGGAATCCGATCACCCAGTGGCATACGGCAACGAATTCCCAAAAGCGCTGCTGGTATGGTTCTGTTCCATCGTGTTGACGACGTTTTCTGACTATGAATCCCTTAGTTGGCGGCTCCAATTTTTTTTCTTCCATAAGTGTGGTTTCCGCAACCATCGGCAACTAATCGACAGAGCCCGTACAACTGATGATCCGTTGCGTAGTGATAATACTGATGACAGTGCAAATCGACCGGGATTAATTGGATTTTAGGTTTTGCATGAACGAACTCAGTAATCCTGTGCATTAATTATGCAAGCGCAGTGTTCGGATCACTTACAAGAAGGCACTCAGTTAACAACGCTTTTTGACTTCTGTTGTTCGATGTAATGTGTCTGGGGGTTTATGTGTGTGTGTGTGTGTTGGTGTGTGTATTGATTCCTCCATACCAAGGTTTCTAGCTGTCTGTTTATCCGCTTCACTTCATGTGACTGATGTATGAAAATAATAGCAACAGTGATGATCACAATGATGAAGCGAATGAGACCAATAAGTAGACGCTGGTATCGTTTGGCAAATGAACGCAACGCATGGTGCGCGACTGCCGTACTCTCTGCCGTATTATACAGATGATTTAATTGTTGTTGATTTCAAAAGTATTCATACTACAATTAAACAGATACGCAGATGAAAACATCATCCAAAGCGAACAAATACGCATGAGCCCTAACCTCATGTTTATTCACTGCGAGTGGAAACACGAACGTTCTGAGGTCAGACAACAGCTGTTTTGAGTGAATTCGGTCGCACATGTATCTGTGAGCGTAAACACAAACCACTGTTTACTTGATGATCCGCGACAAAAATGATGACGAGTTTAATGATGATGGTGATCATTGTGAGGATATTTTGACAGCTAATGAACAGTATGATTCATTCGTGATGTAATTAACTCAATCAAATTCACAATTTAAATCTCAGATTTATGTAGACAACAGTGGGGGGGAGTTATCATTCATTGGGTGTGTACACTCCCTTGTCTAGCAGGTTTAACTAGAAATAATTTAGCCATATATTGGTAAAGACCTGATTTGCAGGAATGCTTTTGCTCGGAGATACCAGATGATTAGTTTTCATTGTTCACTGCTTTCGTCCGTGAAATCGTCACCAAACCCGACGTCGAACCAAACATAAGTGTGTGAATTCGGTTGGTCCCATTATGACCTGGTTGGCAACAAGCATACCTATCCGCTAGCGGTAAACAGTTCACATTCCGAACGAGTCGATGAATTTGCACTACTAGTAAACACTACCAAAAACGAAACTCAAATTTAGTGTTTCCCCATTTTATGGTTGACTAAAGGAACTGAGGATAACGCATAACATTTAACAGGTGATTACTGGCGATGGACACCATATTAAAACCCATTCATGTCACTTGAAAAATTTTGTCCACTACACCGCATTTCATTCACAAATAGGAAACGAGAGAGGTCGACCCCACAAAGGGACCATGAAGTAGACATGGCTATTTAAAGTAGTAGTGGTTTACCTCAGCCTTTCCACCATTTCGCCTTCATTCCCTCATACATCCATCTTTTCTTAACACGATCGTACTTGCGGTTGTGCCTCGAGTGGAAGTTCTGCCGTTGTTCTTTCGTGTCCTACCTCGGCTATCAAAAACGTCCCGCTGAATCATCCACAAACTGAAGATGTCTACTCAAACTAGTCGCGTTTAATGTGCGTACTCCGATGCGCATAGGACAACCAGCGTATTTAGCTCGTACGCACCAGATCCTGGTCATCGGCGTGTTGCATCCAATACGCTGGAATTGAAGACTCCAGTTGCCATAACCGATTGACGTCCCCATCAAGCCAATCTGTGAAGTTTAACTTACGCCTTTCTGGGTGCCCTGGGGCTGCTACTTCCGGTCTTGCTGGTGTTGGCGTGGCTCTCAGCGAGACAGCTGAAGCCACGCCCCTGGATTGGATCCCAGTTTGCAGTAGGTTATGTGCAATCCGCCTCGGAAGTACGTGCAAAGTAAGCAGTTGTCAGCCCGATAGACGGAACATGTTTGTTGTGTTGGTGTACGTTCCAACTGACTGAAGCCCGAAGCAGTCAAAGGAGAATTCCATCAAAATTTACAGAACCACTCGGGCAAAGCGACCAGAGATGAGATCGTGGTTTTACAAGGACATATGAATACTAGAGAAGGACAACCGACNATGTACCAGGAAGATCCTTTCGGACTGGAATCCTGTGGCTCGGAAAACGGGGAACGGCTGTTGGCTCTATTTTCCGACCACCGCCTATTCCTCGTCGGTACGATCTTCAGACGATCTGACTGCCGGTACGCAACTGGGGATACGACTTCCTCAAGTCAGATACGATCGCCGATCGCCCACATCGCTATCAGCCACAAATGGTGAGTCTACAAAGAAGACTGACGATCGTACTGCAGGACTCATCTCGAATCCCACCAAGAATGAGTTTGCGCGAAGCTGCCCATGCGCTTGGGTGAGCGGTCGAAAAGCACGACACAGATAAGGTTATATAT